CACGTTCCCTCCACTGGTTTCAACCAAGCACTAAATTCGATGTTTTCCAACCAAATACGGTTGAACTTACACGTCCCCATATTTATTTGTAAGTAGATTTGAAGATACATGAGTTTCTGACTGCCGCTAGCTGAAGCTTGGTTGCTAGGTTACTAGCTGGGTGTTCTCCAATAAGGGGCCGGGGGAAACAAAGTTAGTGATTACTGGTTCCATGTTGATTTATTTCAACACAAATTGTTGGGGGGAACTGAAAGGCTCTTACCGTACTGGTTACTTTGCAGCACGGACATTTCCCCCAAAACACATTTAGACGCGATCTCTACGCAGAATTACCTTTCAAATCCCATCATTTTTAAGACCTTCTAAATCATATTTAAGACCTTTCTTATGTTTTGGTCATATTTAAGACCTTTTTAAGGCCTTAAATTCAGATTATCAAATGTAAGACTTTTTAAGACCCCGCGGGAACCCTGTACAACCAACAATTGTTATATATTTAGATAAACAAACTCCTCACTGAGCAGTCAAAATGAGTGGAGAAAGAAACAACAAAGACATGTGAGACTAGAATAAAGGTTAGTGTGCAGTCAGAATTGGTAGAGAAAGGTACAACAGAGTCAAGTGAGGATAAAGGTGTCTTCTCACCCGCAGGAGGAGCCTCCTGGGTCTGAGACCTTTCCTCCGGTACGCCAGAGCTCTGATCTTCTCCTGACTGGAAGAAGGAAAAGGAAACAGAGGGAAGGAGAGAACAGAGAACAAGTGATGAAGAGAAACAGATTATGAGCTAGAAAACATAAACGCTGTGCAAGCATAAAGTAAAAGCTCTCAAAGATTACTCACTGCTCTTCATAGGCCAGGACGAGGCGCGGGTCCAAAATATTGTCCTCTGGTTCCCAAGTACTGTATCTGCCAACACACACACATTTAATTCTAAAGTCAGTCTATCTATCCCTCCGTCCATCTACCCATATATCTGTCAGTCTTTCGAAAGTCTCCAACTAATACATATTCTATAAATAAAACTTGTCATCATTGTTTAGTCATTGGTGAAGAATAACCACATTTCTTAAGATAGAATAAAATGCAAATAAAAAACAAAACAAATATATACATACTGTATGCACAGTAGAAAATACATATATTCAGAAGAGTATCTAAGAATACACACTATGAAATATACAGAATCAATTCCAATCCTGTCTAGGGTTGCAATGGGGCGGAACATTTCCGGTACATTTCCGGAAAGTTTCCATGGGAAGTTAAGCTGGGGAAATTTGGAAATATTCGATGCAAAATTAAACAAAAAACATGACATTTCAACAGATTTATTTTAAGTAGAACAGAAGAAGTTTTAATTATTTTATTGAACAATTATTTGTTTAATTGAAGAACGAAAACATGGAGGAATGCACAGTGCCTGTCGGGGTTGTGGTCTCAATAGCCATGCAGTAAGCAGTGTGCTATGGCATGGATATTCAAGTGTACTTGATTGGCTTTTTTTTGTTTTAGTCAAGATTATGCAAAAATATACTTTCCCCATATTTAAATTCCCTATGAAGAGCCAAACTTCAATTTTGAATTCCCAGTTTATTCCCATAAATTCCCATTAATTCCCATGGAAAGTTTCCATCTTTGAAAATTCCCGGAATTTTGCAACCCTAATCCTGTCTAATATCCAAATCTACAAAACGGACAGAAAAAAAAAAACATGTTGTACTATATACTTTATAGATGGTGCACAGTAGCTTTTATATAAAAGTTGAATCCATCCATCCATCCATCTATCCATCCATCTATCTATATATATCCATCTATCCATCCATCTATCTATATATCTATCTATCTATATATCTATCCATCTATCCATCTATCTATCTATATATCTATCCATCTATC